GAGAGAGAGAGATAGAGAGAGAGACGCGAATGGAACCGCTTTGTTGCACGATAATAAAGGAGTTAATTAATATTAAATAAATAAGGCATTCTCTGTTAATTATTTCTTGAATCATCTCAAGTGGAGATGATGCAGAATAAATAGGGGTGTCGGTCTCGAGCAGCGCGGCCAACAAGGATCGAGCACAAATAACTGCGTAGCCTTTTCGATTTCGCTTGTCCTTTGCTTTCTCTCGGGAAGGGAAAAAAAATGCCCTTTGGACGCTTCGCCGGACGAACGTGCTATAAGAGGAGTGAAAGGGTTTATGAGAGTTTGAGAGAGAGAGAGAGAGAGAGAGAAAATATAAAACCCGAGTGCGTGTGAGAGAGGGAGAGATTGTGCTACGAGAATCATGTGCTACGACGCGAGATCATTAGGCCTATAGTGATCACTTACGTCGAGAGAAATTTTAAATAATTCTAAATGGACGATGTATATACACAGGCTGTTCCGTTTCAACCGCATCAATCTTTAACGATAGATTCCGGCCGATTTGGAATCGATTCTTTCTCAATTAAAAATGTCGAATAATTAATTATTGAAAGCAGATGATTTGCATTAACTGATCTCGGAGTCCCCTTTCAACGAAATTTCAATTCACAATTTGATTATAAAGATATTTAAAAATATATAATTAACTAATATATATATATATATATATATATAAATTAATTAAAGATTGAAAAGCCGCTCGGTACTCTCGTTGAGAAAAGAATCAACTCCCGAGGTCTTTCATCGCTGAAAAGGACAATGCGACGGAAGCGGAACGGTCGGTATACATACGTCATTTATTTGCATACATATATATATATATATATATACATATATATACATATATTTATGCATATGTATACATAGCCGTGTAGGGAGCGAACGCGCGATGAGCCCTTTCTTAAATAGCTCCTGGTAGAAAAGTCGAGAGTCGGAAAAAAAGGCTACTTTAATCGAGCGAGAGAGTGGAGTATCTTTATTACATGATATATATATTATATATATATAAATAAAAAAAAAACGAGTAAATAGATATAAATATATATACATATAAATATATAAATATAATACGGGATCGAGCAATATTGTACTTGTTACTTCGTCGTTACTGTTTATCACCGCCTATTGCGAGATTTATGTACTTATTTTACAAGTATTATCCGCCCTCCTTGCCCTCTTCTTCAGCTGCCCCGCCCCTATCCGAACGATTAAAAGTCATATCGAATCTACAGGTCTGTGTGGTATAAACGCGTACATTTTGAACATCTACACACCCACATACACACACACGTACACGCAGATAATGTATAGACAGGCAATTAAAATAGGTAGGCGAACCAGTAGAGACACAATGATTAAAGTTAACGGATGATGCGGAGGATGAGGTAAGAAAGAGTACGTATGTATGTGAGAGAGCGAGAGAGAAAGAGAGAGCGAAAGAGGAATTGTACGAGAGAATAATGAGGGCGAGAATAACGGTGTCGAGGGATGAAAAGTGCGTGAAGAACGGAAGAAAACCCGGAAGTTGAGATGAAAACCGTGTTCTTTGTAAATGTATAGGGTGTTCCGGTGACTGTCGAGTGTCTTTGCGGCGACGGGAATCGATTAAAATAAAACGACAAGGGAAAACACATTCTCTTTATATATAGTAATAATTCCTTAATTAGAATATTTTAATGAATTAGATTTCAAGATTGTAAATAATAAGATAAAGAACGTATTTTTCTTTTCTAACGTATTGACAAAGATTTAGTCATTTAGGCATTGAAATGCGTAAAGAGATTAGATTCAAAATAACACATTGATTAATTGCTTTCACAACGGAATATTCAACATACACACATGTTTCAAAACACATTCTGTTGCTTGGTGAATTAATTCGATTAAAAAAGAAGCTAATGAGTCAATGGCGATGCGAATGATGACTCCTCGCTTCGAGTTAGAGACAGATCCTTGTGACTGAGATAATATTCGACGAATCCATGAACACCCTGTATACAAAAATATGGAGCCTTTCCATATCTCCTAAACGATTGTCGAAAGATCTCTAGCGGAACTGCCGGCGATATGATATGCGGCCTCGGTTTGCGACTAGAGACATACTCTCAGGAATTGAAACGACAGGACGACAAAATTGAATAAAACTTGCTTCTGGATTTTAAACAGTTAATTAAGTTTACGAATTGGAATTCCACCAATTTTTTTCTTACCTATAACAGCTTGATGATTTTAAAATCGATCGTTTTTGTTGCTTGTACCGTATCGAGATTCTTCTTTGATCCTTGATTTTATAAAATTCACAAAATCATAACTGATGAAAAATATTAATCAATTTCGCGATCGAGAACCGTCAGATCTCGTCCCGTCGATCGATTCCTACTTCAGAAACACGCGTAGAGGTGCGAGCCACCTCTCCGCGTACTTACCGTGAAACACGTATGTGCGAGAGACAAATATATTTGGGACCACCGTGCAGACGTGCAAGGTGTCGTGGAGCGTAATCTTTGAGGTACTCGAATTGCAGTCCGACTGATAGAACGGCGACGGTAAAAAAAATTGGGAGGATGAGAATGAGGATCGCGGCGCATGGAAAACGCATTTGTAAATTGTAAAGTTTATTGGTATAAGCAGGAAAAAAAAGAAGAGAACGGGACGATATCAGCTTCTCTCTTTTTAGTACCGATTATAATGTCGCTAGATGTATTTACGATACCGCCGTAAAAAGTTTCTCCTCGGCAGTACCATTATAACAAATGCCTGTGTATTTTACTTCTTGGCAAATAATAAACGATCAAGTATTGTACAACTCCCTGGAATTCGGTCATCTAGACCAATAGTTTAGGCACAAGGATTCTAAGTGAATTTATAAATCACCAATGATCTACAAAATCAGAAACTCAGCTTATAGATAATCTAGTTGGCGTTAAATAATTAAAGAATCTGCAGAATAGAATTTTTATGCATTAAAAAAAAGATATATATATAACAAAAGTTTACAGCATAATAAATTCAAGACGACATACGAATTGATTAAAATTCAAAAGCGTAAATTATTTTGTGCAAACAATCAATTTAAACATAGTACAAATTTATAGATTGAAAACGAATATTCAAAAATTTGATTAACGGTTTTTATAAAGGAATGTGAAAGGTGAATTCTTGCTAGTTGCAGTTCTATATTTCCCGATGAATCAGCCAGAGTTCTAGCCAGAGCGTCAGTCTTGTAGAGTATCTGCAATCTGTGGCGATGTTGATGTCAAAAATCGATTAATTTTCACGAGATCTTGTTTACAGATATGTATCCGTTTTGCGTGACGATCCTATCACACTTGACCTTTGACGCGTGCTTGGATATCTATAGCTTGCATTCATAAAATAAAAAAAAAATAAGATGCATTTCGCATACTATGACTCGAATATTACATCGCTATCGCATCAATGATGAATCTAAAGAGAGAAATAAAACAAGGATCAGAAAATTTAAAAAAGACAAAGTTCGAAATATGCTGAAAATCATTTTTATGATCGATCACATTATTTACAGCTAGAAAAATATATAAATTAGAAATTTTACATCAATTTTAATAACCTTGCTGTGAACAAAAAGAACAATATATCGTATTCATAATACAAAGAAAAATTAATATTTTTAAATAATATTGTTAGTTGATTATAATATTATTAATGTATTATATTTAATATGCATATAATGTATATATAGGTTTCATTTTTTACATTAGAAAACACTGTTTTGACAATTTCAATTTTAATATAATAATATAACGAAAAAATTGGAAAAATACAGAAGTGATCGCAATACTGCAAAACTATCGCACGCTACATGTAAACTTTAAACAAAAATATCTTTTTATCGAGATATATCATATCTTATCTAATTGGAATCGACTTTTTCAATGTGCGCCAGCTTGGAAACCTTGTCTATCAAATATGTCAGATGAGTTTTGTAATTTAATGGAGCGACTGACACGCAGTTGTGTTTCACTCTCATTTCATCCTGAAAAATTTAAAAATTGTCAAGAAACAGAAAATTTCAGAGAAAATATGCTTAGTTTAAAATACAATTGGCTTTTACGATTTTAAAGAAAAATGAAATTGCTATAAAAATTAGAATTATGGAAGTGATTTCATTGATATAATAAAATACACTTTGATTTAGTTACCTGAAAAACTTCCGATTTCGCCCTCATGCTAAACGTAAATCTCTTGAAGCTCGCCTCGCCGAATTTCTGCATATAGGCGTCATTATCGTTTTCCTTCAGTTCTCCCAATTCTTGTGCCGACATTCCCAATATCTTCTCGGCATCATCGTTGAAGGCAGTTATCCAGCGACTGCCTGTCGCATCCGCTATATTCATCTAAAGATCGTCACAACAATAAATCAAATAATTTCAGAAAATATTCAAATAACAAATACGAAGGACGTGATAGCAATACTTACACTTGCTATTAAGCGATATGAAAAATTCGGAAAATCCTTATTACATTTCTCGCATCTGAATACTCCGGTAGATTGATCAATCAACTGAAATTGAATTGTGTTTCATAATAATTCGCACAAGCTTAATTTTCATCTATAGTTATACTACAGCATAATAAAAAACTGAGAAAGATATCAAGCTAATCCGCGCTAAGAGTTAAGTCTGAACATAATTTCATTAGAAAATACTTTTTAACTTTCTTCAATCTTGAATAGTACGGTAATCACTCAGAATTTTATAGTGCAAAGAAACTTAATCGCAACTTGTTTTACCTGAAAAGCTTTTCTTTTCTATCTTTCTAAAGTTTATATAATCAATTCATATAGTTGCAGATACGGAATATATCTTCAGAATATGATAAATTTTTGTTTTAAATATGTCCATTTCATACACAACTCACCTTTTTCTTGCAACCATCTACAGGGCAGGCCTTGTAAACGGAATTTTCCACTCGAATCAGGTTAATAGTTGCCACAACTGTATATGGATCTGCGGCATTCAATTTATCACCCAATCGCGCGTCGCTCACCTCCTGGAAGGTGTGCAATGGCGCGTTGAAATCACCACCGCCACCTTGTCTAGACAATGATTTGGGAGTCTCCGCGTGACCACCTGCGGCATACCATCCGCGCAATCTGACAAATTAAATTATATATTTATAAAGTATTGACAAAGAATTGCAATTCTTGTTGGATTATACAAACTTATGTGCTTCTGGTAGATCTGGATCCTTCGTGACTACGGATGTATTAAAAATAGTCAAACTTTTCCCACCATTGAATTCGCTAACGCGCGCTTGCTTAATAGCCAAAATCGGATTGTTAGAACCGTCGAAGTCTTCAGCTTGTTTTCCCCACAGTGTGACGCACACCTGATGTATGAAAGAAAATTTGAAGTTATTCGGTTATAATAGCAAAAAAATTAAAGTGTAGCGCGTTAGTGAATTATTTACCGTTACACCACTGTCATCGACAATGTTGACGTCTCTCTTCGTGAGATCTCTGCCAGTACTTCGCTGTTGAAGATGTTGCACGTCGCTGAACGTTGTAACAACACCCATCACATCTGTCAAACGCAACACCATTATATACACAATATTACAACTTTCAGATTATAATCATCAGTTGTGTCTTATTTTTTATTCTTCTCTTAAATATTTATATTTATTTTTCTCTTAAATTTATTCTTCTCTGTTCCTCATAAATTTTGCATTGCTATTTATTATCATATGTATATCTTAAAATGTTAACACAAGATTTTAGATTGTAGATTAATATTTGAATAGTAAAAGATTAAAAAACAGATAAAAGACAAATAACAGATCGTACAACTGATATAACATTAGATTAGATAAGTTAGAATGTCAATGCATGATCAAAAAAAGATCGTTCTGACACTAATGTGGAAATCAATGTTTGATATTTAATTAAAAGTTAATTTCATGAGTGTAATATGATACCTATTATATCATTTTTCTCCTTTTGTTCCACTCGACTTATGGGAACAAAGTCGAACTGCATTCCCGGGATGTCGTCATTGTTGTCATGGCATGGGATAATCTCTGTATCATTAGTCATTGTCATCTCAAAATCATTTTTCAAATTGTTGAATTGTTTATTTGCTGCCTTTAACATGCATCGTGAGAAATAGTACACGTTTCCAACCTGACATAAATAAAACGTTCGGCAAATTAATCTTTTATAAGAAAAAGAAACTAATATTGTTAGTAATTAATAATTATAAATTTATATAACTGTACATACCTCTATCATATCGTAGAACTTATCACACATATCTCTGAACGCAGTGCACCGAATTTCGCCACTATCATCAATCAAATCGATAGAAAACAATTTGCCTTCTCCACGAGAATTGCTCCATGTTCTGATCGGAGGTTTATGTGTCACACGTGCTTTGATCACCCATCTAAAAATAGATTATCATTGTTTTTGTTTCTTTTCAACATTCTCTTATATCTATAAATACAGATTTATATCTATATATCTATATTTCATACAGAACCAAGTTTTTTACCTGTTTTGATAAGGACTTAATGCTGCAATTGGTGTAGTGGCTATATCAGAAGAGCTATTATAATTTGAAACTTTCTTTTCCTGTTTGGCTGCACCATCTGTCACAAGATTTTGTATTTAATGATAAAGTACATTGAATATCTTAAAGTGCATCAAACATTTATTCTAAATGTAATTAGAACAATGATACCCTTACTTTGATGCGCAGCTGTGGATGAGTGAGGTTGGTTTGAATTTCCTGGCTCCGGTTTTGCCTCTACATTGGTTGGGTTGCCTATTTTGCATTTAACTTCCTCGCCAGGAGCTATCAGCTCGATGCCCAGTACCAGCATTACACGTCTAATAAATTTAATAAAATATATTTAACTCTTGGCTAAAATCACTCGATACATTTTAATGTGTAAATTAAAGTGACATACTTTTCCTTGCCACCATTATTTACTGAACTCAAAGCATATTTTGATATTTCACAAACTGCATATTCAGACAAAGTATTGTCAGTTATTAAATGATTCAACTGAGTAGCCAACATTGTGAATGAATTCATTCTTTGTCCATCAGAAATGAGTAATCTGTACCGATCAGTTGGCGGTTTATTAGTATTGCTTGGTAGCTTCTTATAACCCTATAAAATTAATATATTTGAAATTCTATTCCACAAAACAAGTAGAAGTTTCATCTCCAAAGTATCAGCACAAGCACAGAATTATTAAGAATCAAGCTAGTTAATACAATATTAAAAAATATAAATGTGGATTTATGTGCATCATAGTCTAAGAAAAAAACAGAACTTGTATTATGACACTGTTGTTCTATACAAGAGCAAAGACAGGTTAGATTTTATAGCTTTCAAAACTTCAAATCATGAAGATACAAAAACGGAAACAACATGTAAAAAACAATTCATGTGCATCCCGCACAACACTTACCAATATTTGAAGCACTGGTTTCTCAATGTCAATGCCGTTCATGATTTTCTGAAATAATTATAATCTGTTGAGCAATACAACGCAATAACGATATATTTACGACAAACTTACATCCAACGCTCCTCCCGTTAATTTATACATGGTTGCAGATTATTATTGACACAGGCAGAAATCTTGTTGAACAAAAAGATTACTTAATCTTGACAAGCGGCTTTTGTACGTTTGACCTAAATTGCTGCAAGTCGTGATCTTCCCGCCGACAACAAGCGTGCGTTCCGCAAGCAATCGTTTCGTACGTCTAATGTAAAGTTCACACTGCATCTGTAATCTGACATACGACATCCAACATTCAATGAAAAAATTTATCTTTTTGAGACAAATATATGTTAAACGCTCCACTTTGGTCGGGATTTTATCAAAATTGTTAAATAAAGTATTTAAAAAATGTCTTAAAAAAGGCATCTTTAAGGCGTCCTAAAGATAAAAATTAGAAGTAGTCTGCTTTTTTCTAATGTCTGAAGCTAGTGAACGGTATTCTCTCCCACATGCTGCTTGCGTCTCAAATCTGGCGTCACTTCTCCCAATACTGGGAGGAACCCACGCCACGGCTTGATGCGCATGTCGCAAAGCTGTCACTCGTGAACAATCCTAAATAGAGTAATATCAGGTATTTGAGTAATCAATCTGTATTTTTTTTCCACGAACAATCGAAAGATCCTGCTTGCCATTAAATATTCTACCGTCTTATACTAATAGTGCTGGGTCAAGTAATTCTATATTTTTTCACTGTTCTTTTGTAGGTTAAGTTTAATATACAGGGTGTCCCGAAAGTCCGGCCTTAATAACAACTAAAGATTAGAAGTAGCAAGATTCTAATAAAACTTTAAACACTATAAAAATACACGTGGGTAAAATATATCTTCTTTTATTGTACTTTAGACTCTCAATCTTTGATTTTATTGACAGATATTTTTATAAATTTCTGAGTTGATTCTTTTACAGGAAAATTTCGGAAAAGTATTATCTTTTAATATTTAATATTGACTATTTTTATAATTGAATTTAAAATTATAAAGTTTGAAAATAAAAATCTTTATTTATATTTAAAAATTTTAGGTATGTGTGTAAAAAAGAATTTAATTTTGTGAGCATAATTATTTATTTACAATAGTATGTATAATAGTATATATATTTTGTGTAAGCAGGATTCTACATTTTAATTCAAAAAAGTAATCCAAAAATTTTTCTTCGGAATTTAGATAGCAACAAGTAACTTGGTTATTTTCAAAACAAAGATGTCTGTGACAGAAGAGAGGATACAAGAGCTAAATCGGCTCTTCTTGGATTTTATGAGCAAACCAGAGAATGTGGAGGTAGCCACAAAAGAGATCTATGAAGATTTGCTAGATGAAGTATTAATGGGTTTTGTTTTTGATGTGCATCGCACCACTAAGACAGGTAGTTCTGATGTCGAAGAAGGCATCCCAGATGATGAATCTTATGCCATTGTCGGTATGTAAAAATATACTTTTCTTTATTTATTTAACTTTTTAATAAACGTTTAATCTTATCAATAATTTGAATTATTCCATTTTAACAATTTAAGAAAAATTCTGTATTTAGACGCTATAATATATTATTTAGAAATTATTTAGAAATATTATTTTTTCTCAGAAACTTTATTTTTAGATGATCAATATGTCACATGCTATAATGTAACAAATATATGTGTAATTTTAGATTCGCCCGGACTGGATGTCTTTGGCCAGCATCCAGTGAAAAAGTCACAGGAATGCACTTGTCCGAATTGTGAGCGTGGTGTGGCTGCATGCAGATTTGCTACCCACCTGGAGAAGTGCATGGGTATGGGCAGGAATAGTTCGCGCATTGCATCGCTTCGTATTGCCAACAATTCCAAGGATCTGAATAACTACGGCGGCATGTTAAGCGACGACGACGACGACGTGGATTGGAGCATGACCAACGACAGCGGTAACAAGCGCAAACGTCCTCGTAAGGATCGCAACGGTATGAATAAACGCTCGGGCAAGCAGCAGAAGCAACAGGGAAGTGTCGCCGGTAGCAGCGGTAGCGGTAGCAGTTCGCAGAGGAACGGCGAGACAGCTGGCATTGTTGGCAGCAGCGGCACTGGCGAACACAGCGTACATAGCAGCAACGAGAACTCACCGTCAAACTACGAGAACATGTCGATTATGGATAAGCGAGCGCTGCTCATGCAAATTTGTGGTGTTGTATCCGAACACACGAAGAAAGTGTGCACCAGGTCGGTGCGATGTCCGCAGCACACCGACGATCAGCGCAAGGAGATACGCGCTAATTTAGAATCCAGCAGTAATGGCCAGGACAATCTTCAAGTCGACGTAGACACGTATGAGGAAAGCGACGGTCAGAATCTACGAGATGCGTTGGCACGATGGGATCGAGAGGGTTCTAGTCACTCCAGTCCGGCCGATTCTGCCTCGACCACATCGACCTCGTCGATCAGCCGGAAACGGGAGACTAAGTCCAAGGGCAAAGGAAAGGCTTCCTCTAAACGCGATCGCGGTTCCCCAATTTCGCAGGGAGACTGAGAAAAGGAGAGCTATAGGATTATTTCTCGATCTAGAATTATTCTAGGGCGGCAACAAAGAAATATTGTACAATAATGTTCCTACGTGTTGTAAATAACTCGAAAATTATGTAAATTTTTAGATAGTGATAAAATAACTTTACATAATATTTAGTCTTAAATGTCTTTTACCATCTTGTGTTCTTTTGTAATTATCATCTTTAAGAATAAATAAATAACTGTAAGGAAATTGCAATAGAATATCGATGAGATATTTATTAAGTGCATTTAACTTCGATATTACATTAGTTTTGATAAAATGGCTTAGATTTCCTGGAACTCGTTGGTCTCGCTAGAATTTGACAGGCAGTTCAGCATTTCCTTAAAATATATATATATATATGTTTGGACATGCTTATAAATTTGTTTATATTTTTGATAATTATATAAATAATTGCAATTACAATGAGAACACTGTAAAAATTTACCAAAAATAAAATAAATTTACAATAAAATGCAAATAAAAAATAATAAATCTAACATATTTTCCCCTTCGCAAAATATTTAAAATAGATTTAAATTTAGAAACGATGACAGCATCATTGACATACTTCCGGTGCTTCTGAACACTTCCGTCTATTCTCAATCATCTTTATTTTTTGTATTTATTCCGTATTCGATATACGAAAATTAAGCCAGTATCAGATTATGTAACTTGTTGCAATTTACATGTGATTTAGTAAACTATTAAAAATACACCATACAGCACTCAGTATTTCTAGTAATTACTAGAAATGCTTTACTAGATCGCAAGCGAATTGCTGTAACAAGTTACATAAGCTGCGTTCCGAAATTCACTGCCAGTACTGAAAATCTACAAAATACGTGACGTAAACTATAGATTTTCAGGGCGGTATTCATAGTCCGTTCTTATATTTAAAATCGTCTTAAGCACGGACTTATATTCGCTCTCTTCGTCACACATAGATTGTGTCTGACGAAGAGAGCGAATATAAGTTCGTGCTTAAGACGATCTTGAATATAAGAACGGACTATGAATACCGCCCTCAGTACTGGTAGTAAATTTCGGAACACAGCCAGTCTAATCTGGTTTTACGATTCCGTGTTTAATATCTATTCCGACAGAGGTGCTACTGTTACTCTTGACTTGTCGATTCTTAACCCATCTATGTTGTTCATCAATCGTGTTCTAGACAGTTCTATAGCATCTTTCGCAGATTTCGGAGCCATTACGCGTCTACTCTCTGTTCAATCTAGATTTTAGAGCGTTGTGTATCGGCTTGTGTTCATAAGTATAATATATAAAATATAAATAACAATGCTGAACATAAAGATTGCAGGAGCATCTGAAAGATGCGTCTTTAAAAGTGACGCTCCGCTAACAGTACATGAATTACGAAAACAAATTGAAGATACGATAGTAAGTAACGGATAAATAACCTCAATTTACGTTTATCATTTTCTTGTTTGTTTGTCCAAAATTTGATAATTAATATTTATATCAGTTATTCAGTCAATAATTATATCAGTAATAAATCAAAATTCTTAATAGTGTTCATAATATTATTCATAATTTGTTAATAGGTTTGTTGGCGTCATACATTACGTTACGTGTACTATATTGGAGCATGTTGGGACGCGCAAACAAACCTAATATTTTTATTGTTTTACTTTTTCAAAAATAAACCAAAAACTTTTTGCAAAATTTTGAATTTTAACTTGTACATATATATTTGACAGTGAATAGTTATAATATTACCAATGATTTGTTAAAAATATATACTAATAGATTAATTTTTGTTATTTAGGGATTTTCATGTAATGAATACTACATCCTACAAAATGGCCGACTTCTGCAGGATGATGCAATCTGCTCAGATGGTGATACAACTGTTGTTCCAAGACTATTGGGAGGTAAAGGTGGATTTGGCTCCATGTTGCGTGCTATAGGTGCACAAATAGAGAAGACCACGAATCGAGAGGCATGCAGGGATTTGAGCGGTCGCAGGTTGCGGGATATAAACGAGGAGAAGAGACTGAAATCTTGGATCGAAAAGCAGACTAAGAGAGAGAAAGAGGCAGCAGAGCGGAAGAAAAAGAAATTAGAGAAATTGTGCGCTGAGCCGAGACATGAATTCCAAGATCAGCGTTATGAGCAGGAACGAGCGGAACTAACTGAGAGAGTTGGAGACGCTGTAGAGGAGGGTTTCAAAGCCGCTGGCCCATCAGGCATTAAGAGGCAACTGGAAGAAGATTTTAAGCCCAATAAACGCAAGACTATATTAGACCTTGACATTGATTCCGATGAATTTGAATCTTCAGATTTCACTGATGACAGTGAAAGTGAAGAGGTTGACCATGACTCATTGTTCATTAAAGAAGATGAGGGAGAAACAAGCAAACAAGAAAAATTAAATGATAATGGACATATCAGCAACGATGAAAATGTTAAAAAAGTAGAAGACAAGCCTTCTGAATCGATCTAAATTTAGTTTCAAAACTATGTTTTATATTATTTTACATAGTAAATATATAAAAATAATATGTTTTATTTGTATATATTTTGTAGTTTTAAGGCTTAGATTAATTTTATAATCATGTACTCTGTGATATTCTATTAAATCAGAAATAATTTTTGTAGTTTTTGATTACATTAACACCAGAAATAATGTACGAATTGCGAATAAGAAACTTTGAATGTACATGTTTTTCAGTAAATAAGATATTCATAGATCAATAAGTTTAACTGACCGTTCTTGATAAATTCCATCCATTCAATTCCTCACTGAGTTTTACACCGATTGCAAATAAAATCGCTGATGCAACAATTGATCTTAAAAAATCATCTGCAGATAGACATTTATTCGTCCAATGGTAAAGTTCCACGATATATCTTGCGCTAATAAGAACAAAATTATCGCTCCTTTCTTGAGTTTTTAATTGTGCTTTATCTATAACATTTATTAGAAATTATTTATAAATCAGAAATAAAGAAACTTAAGAAATAAAAATGTAAAACAAATTATAAAAATTTAGAATAAAGACATTCATATTTCTGTTTCTATTACAAAATCTTATTTAATTAAATATCAAAAAAAATTTTATTAAGATTTTGTGTTTTACAATTAAGGCTCCTGGGCTCGCCGCAGCCATGGCAATCGTGGCGTCAGAGGCGAGGAATTACACGCTGAAAATTCTTGCGTGCCATTTTTAAATAAAGATATTTTGATGAAATAACACTATAGATCGCTTTAGCACACTTGTAAAATTGTTCGAAAACTATGCTTTCCCTTTAACAGTTAATAAACAACCGTAAAATGAATGTGATATGAATCGTATGACCGCGGCGAGCCCAGGAGCCTTAAGCAATTAAAAATAAAGTACTTACATCTTGCGACAGCTCGCGGACAAATACAGCGACAAGGTTTACAGCAACTTTTGCAAAATTTAGACTAGAAAACCATTTTTATGTCAGTTTACTTCATAATCTTGCGTTTTACAGGTGTTTCATCTTAAACGATACTTACCTTGGCGATTACTGGCGTACTGTTGGAGGTTTGAAGCTTGGTATGAATATTAATTTTATTTAAATTCAGGGATGGCAATGATATAGAAGTTTCGTCTGTGAAGGCCATTTTACAGGTCTTAACTACTTTTTTTTAGCATTATGACTCATTTGACAGGACTTACTCATTGACATTTAATGGGAAATCCATGCATGGCAGATGTTCATATTTTATTTATCTTTAAAAAAATGATAAAGAAATAAGCAAATTAAAATATTAAAAATTGATATTTTAATATAAATCAAAACTAGATAAAAATCATACTTTCTTACAAAAATATATATAATTTTTTCTTTCTTTTTAAAGTAAAAAGCGATAAATGGATGTACAAGTATCTTATTTTTGACACATGTCGAAAATGTGTACACAATGGCTAGTCAATATCATAAGCTACAGTCGCGACACATAAGAAAATTATAGAGATTTATTGACTAAGTCATAATACGCATTTTGATACGGTACAGATAAGGTAATGGGCATAACGAGATTAACGAATAAAGCGGTAGCAGCTAGAGATGTAGTCTGACAGGAGACGAAGATTCTCGTGCATAGGTTGCATAATGCTGCTGCAATTTTTGGTAAGTAAGATCCAAAATAGCAAAAACTGCTATTTATGGGAAAATATTCTTTAATAAAATCGTGTATGTAATATAAATAAAAATTCAAAGTCCAAGTCTTCAAAGTTAAGCGCGAAATCCCTTAGAAAAATTTACTTTAGACTGGCCTAAAGTTTTGTTTAGTAACTATAAAAATTTGAACAGTTCTTTTAAGTAACTATAAAAATTTTTAAGTTTTGTTTAAGTTATTTCAGAGTTTTAAAAATATCCTTGAGTTTTTGCTTCTTTAATTATTGAAGACATAAAGTTCATGAAAAGTATCTAAAAGTTTATGTGAAGTAACTTAATGGTGGTGTTTAGTAACTTAAAGTTGACGTAAAAGTAAGTAAAAATTTGTGTAAAGTAACTTCAAGGCCTCAAAGTTTCTTAAGTTTTGGTCCTTGAAATCATCTAAGACTTAAAGTTGTAAATACTGCAATGCTCAGAGAATTGGATGCGGAACACAAACTCACATTGCACATTTATTAGCACTAAACTTTTAAAAATTTCTATAGTAAATCGAAAAGTTTTCTTAAGTTATTTTTTTAAGTTTTAAAAAGTAAATTTTCCTAAGGGATTATAAAATTATTACTCATTTTTGGTCACTTGCTTGTTTTCCAGTTTTCAAACATGATGAGACATATTCTATGGTGCCTTGTACTTTTGTGCAGCATTTCCATAGCATTTTCCAACAGTAAGTTTCCCATAATTAAAAATTTGAGAATTAAATATGCAGAATCTGCAAAAAAAATCCAACACATTGTCTTCAATGAAATATTCAGTTATAAATCATAAAAGCATAAATATCTTTCCAGAGATTTTCGAATAAACTATTCTATGTCATTATTTTTAACTATATAATTAATTATATTAAATAAATATATAAAATCTATGAAAATTTTCCAAAAGTAAAGTTTTCTCACCAAAATTCTGTTAAATTCCGAGCTGAATTTTTATTATTAGCGATGTTATAACAGATTTAATATTTTCTGTGCAGTCGATATAACACAGCATCCTAACTGGCCACTACTGAAGCATGGCAAATGCGGCAATTCCAACAGCGATCGCATTATCGGCGGTAAGAACGCGAGCCTCGGCGCGTATCCTTGGATCGCGCGAATAGGATACAAAAGTCCTATAACCGGCGACGAAATAAGTTACAGATGCGGTGGCATCTTGATCAATCCATTGTACGTTATCACGGCTGCACACTGCGTGGCGAATCTTCCTAATAAGTATGCATCTTTCCAACTTCCTCTTGATTCCTTCAATGATATATTTATTATTAATTAATATTTTATAAGAATTATTATTTACACGGAGAATTTTTCTAAGTTTGGAGATCGGTGGAATTCGTCTAGGCGAGCACAACACTCTGACTGATCCCGATTGCGAGAAGGAATATTGCGCAGAGCCGGTGCAAGATTTCTTGCCGGAATCAATAGTCGTTCACGAGGATTACGATAAGCCTCTGTTCAAGAATGACATAGCAATAATACGGTTGAACAAGCCGGCGGTTTACAACAGTGAGTTTATAAACTGTTCAATCTTAATTAACGGTTAATCAGATTATTCAGTATCTATCAATATATAATTCTTTTCTTTAAAGAATTTCATTAAATAAATGTCCCGTCTTTGTATCAAGTCGAGGTCTCCGATTTGCGAAACAAGTCGAATGAAATCCCCGCACGTGTTATTCGAGGAACAAATTAGAGCTTTCAATTGGCGTCACACCGTCGCGGTTTCTGAAAATAAATCTGTTCCGTTTTGTAATTTTACCGCACAGATCACGTGAGAGTGATATGCATGATGAGCGATGAACTTCTGAAGAAGAACTTTGTCGGCGAGATGGCGGAAGTGGCTGGTTGGGGAATATACGACCTCAGTAAGGCATTCCATGGAATCTGAGCTAATATCGAGTCGATTTTCCGTTATCCTTCATACCTGCTTCACTTCTCTATTATTTGTCGCGTCAAGCATAAAATTCATTCAAAACCCAATCTCTCCATTAAATAGATATTTTTTCAGCCGTCGAAGATCTGAAATAAACCAACACATTTTTTAAAGATCTATTTCATATAATTAACTTCTTGAATTTACACTTCAATCGATTATCTATTCATTATTGGCTCATATTTGTCTTAAATTTAAATTCTGATTTACGTTAATCTCAGTAATATTTACGAGTTATCGATTCGCAGACGATCCCAAGCCCAGCATAATTCTGCAGACGATCAAGCTGCCGATTGTCGAGATAGACAGGTGTGCGAAGGCTTTCAAAAGTTACACGACTGTAGACGACAAGCAGATGTGCGTGGGCGGTGTTTTGGGCCAGGACTCTTGCGGCGGCGACAGCGGCGGGCCGCTGATGAAGGTGGAGAGCCAGGACGGAACACCTCCTAGGTATTACTTGATCGGCATCGTCTCGTTCGGCGCAAAGTTCTGCGGCAGTTCCACGATGCCCGCTGTTTACAGCAGTATCGCCAAATACATTACATGGATCCTAGATCACATCTCACCATGACGATGTTCAGAGCGCTGAAAATAAACATATAATCCATTTAATAAATTCCTTATTTCGTTGAAAGATAGAAAAGATCTTTCTGTGTTTAGGAATGTACAATTATTTTTATTTATTACACTGACATTGTGCGGATATCAGAATCCCGTAACTGATAAAGATATTTGGCATTAATTTTCTTGCGCGAAAAATGCGCTTGTTATCTATAATTAATCTTATTATTAATAATATCACGAGTATCGTTAGATGCATATTAGACACAATACGATAAGAAGTAATTTGCAATTAAAAGGAATCGATTGTAAGAATCTTCAAAACACGCAATCTTGCAGCCATCGTCGTATAGAATTTAAACAGGATGCAGGATTTTCCTCGTTTTACGAGCGTTCAATCACTCGTGGAAGTAATTATCTCGTCTGTAAAAATCAGACTCAGCGAGAAGCTTGCAATCTTGTGGAACTTTTCCTGCTGAAATCGTCTGTAAGAGCAGTTACGCGTGGAAGCGATTAATCGGCAGGCACATGGACTTGATTACAATTTGAATCAATTGCAATTTAGATTTCAGATTTAAGTGAAGTTTTATTCATTCGAATTTCGCGATCTGCGTGGAGATGTAAATCACAATAAATCCGATCTTTCCATGAAATTCATGTGTGATACATTATCCGGGGAAGTCAGGGTGTTCCCATCTCGCCTAGATCTAGATTGCATTGATCACGCTTGTAATATCGAAGACTGGTTTTTTTTTTTCTCTAATGAGTCACTTTTTGCGTAGCGCTAACAATCGTAATTGCTCTCGCATAATGAAACAGTACTTAGTAATCAGTACATCACGCTTCCGCGTAATGAGATAGTGCTTTGTAAAAATTCAGTTCTAATCAAAATTGTAAAATATTTCTTACATCCAGTCTCTTTTTTCTTCCTTTATATATATAATATATTTTTTGAAGATTTCTTTAGAAAATGAAAACCGGCGAAGTTTGAACAAATAAAATAGTATAAGCGAAATAAAGTCATATATTTCTTAGTAAAATTATTTCTAATCGAACATTACGAATTGTGACGTAAGTAAATGGGGCAAGAAAACTGATATTAAAAATCACCGCCGGCAAATAAATCTAGGCGGATTGATTAATCACTGTATTTTTCAAGAAAATCCCGGTAATTACCAAGAAATCTTTGTAGGTCAAAGGCTGTAAAAAATCAGCGTGATATCAAAACATCAGTATTAATATTAATCTCGTTTTAAAATGCGTCATCGTCATGATATTGTATAAAAATTATATAAAAAAATCACAATATTTAAAAATAAAAAATATAATTATCATAATCGTTAGGAATGATATGTAAAGTTATGATAATTAACACAATAGAATATTCTACTGAATAAAATCTTACCAAAAATATAAATACTCGAAAAAGTTTTCGGTTCTCGCCTTTCCTCGTCTCTCAAAAAAATATATTTGCACCTTTTTTCATTTATTTGAATGGAAAAAGTTTTTTTTTTTTCTCGTTAAGGATTTCTCGACCAATTCTGCCGCTTCTAATTACCCAGGCAAAGCCAGTTGACTGCGGTGGTGGGGACAGTTGTTGACCCTGGCTCCGGTTACTCTATCATAGATCGTCAGTCGTTGTCCTGCTCTTCGGCACGACAGCCATAAAACTGAGGAAGCCGTCGAGATCGAGTGAATCCTCAGTGTCAAAGTGTGCTGTGATTATCTCTCAATACTTCGTTGATAACAGCAAAGTTCAACAATTCGTCAAGAATGTCGACGTCCTTCCTGGTGTCTTTCAAATTCCTCACATTGCTGATCGTCAGTATCAATGCGCGTAAGTGGATTTTCTAAAATAAACAGTTTTCTAAAATATAATGCCATTCAACATTCGAAGATTAACTAAAGACTAATCAATTAAAATTAATTCTTACTTTCCCAGTTTTTGGAAAACAAAAGTAAGGAAATCGAAACGTTCTAATTTTCCCAACAAATTTTTTTTTCGTATTTTTTGTAGATATATGACACTTTGATTTTGTATATCGTCAAGAAGCAGAATCGTTAAATGACTCGAGTGTTGGTTGGTTCATCAAGGTTATCGATGATTCAACTAAAGCTTTAGCTATGATAAACAAATAAATTGTGCAAGAAGAAGAATATGCGTTTATAAAAATCGCATTACGTGGTACTTTTCTTTAAACTAGCAATCTAAAGTTTCTTTTTAAAAGTATCTTATCGATAGATAACTTTGAGATCAATTATAATTTTTACAACAAACTTGGATTATTAGAATATTCTAATTCATTATTTTATAAGATGTAACTTTTTTGTGTATATAATTTTGAATATTTCAATGCATTCTGTTTTAATTTATCTATTTAATGCGCAACGAAAGAAGATAGAACGTTAATCATTTTCAAGGACGTCTGTGCGTAATATGTCATATATACTTAGTATTAGAAACAATACAGCATTACAAATAATTGATCAGATATACTCGGAACTTCGGCATAATCGTTCGAATTTCGAAAATTTAGTTTTCATTAATGAAAGCTTTATTACTGCACAGAAGATGATTAGTTATCAATTTATAACGCGCTTCCACAAAAATAAAAAAGCCAAGTGCCAAGTTTCCGATCGCGTCTCTCGAATTGTACGCGGCATTACTGTGCGTTACATCATTGAATTAATGGCTAACACCGGGAATCACGAAACAATCGTAATCAACGCGCGTGAAAAGCACGGAATCGGCTTTATATTTCATTTTATACATTGCAACGCTTCGATGAGTCCCCGTATCTACCATCTTGACCGGTTTCTCACTCAAAGAACCGGAAATTCTCGAAGAACATCATTCCAAACATTACCAGGCGAAAAACTGTAGAAAAAAAATTTGCATACATTATTAAGACGACGCTGCTGTGCAAAACTGTTGCCTTTTACACAAGCTGTTAAATGCAGCGCCGCGGTATTTTCGCGAAAACAAAATTCATTCCGAATCCATCGGAAAGTCTAGCTTGAAAATTGCAGGACACTCCGCATACTCACCGAAATCGTATCGTACAAAATGTATGAGATTAATGTCTCTCTTTCTCTTTCGCGCTTGATGTTTAATTCCTCTTCCTTGCAGAATATCAAAGCTCGCAAACGGAGTGCAGAGTCGACAATCAGGTGGGCACATGCATACACGCGCGCAATTGTCAATTGGTGGCGAACATCCTGCAGCAGTCGCGCGACGAAGCGATCGCCTATCTGAGACGCAACCACTGCGGCTTCGACGGCAGTAATCCGATGGTGTGCTGCATCGTTGGCAACGCGAACGTCATCACTCGTCCAGGCGGCACCACAACGAATCCCGGGATCAACACGGACAGGAATCCGGTGACACCCAACCAACCAATCAATGAGAACATCCCAGTCGATCTGGCCAACAATCCTTTGCTGCCGAGCAATTGTGGCCGCGATCTGTCGCAGAGGATCGTCGGCGGCGAGCGCACCGAGCTCGACGAGTTCCCGTGGATGACGCTCTTGGAATACCAGAAACGTAAGCTGAAAGAAAGAAAAAAGAATTAAAACCGTGAAATTTAATATTCAAGCGCGCACAATACAAAATAAATAAATAACGATCAATAAAATTAGATAGAAATAACTGAAAATAGTGTCAAATATTACAATAATATTAAACTCAGATTGTGAGACAATTTGATCCTTAAATCAGTACATCTCGAAACCGAATTCTGCAGTTGACTAATCAAATGTAATTTACGAGTAACACAAAATATTCTCTGAATGCCATTACAGCCAATGGCAGAACCACGGCGTGCGGCGGTGTCCTGATCAGCAAGCGCTACGTCCTTACCGCCGCGCACTGCATCAAGGGCAAGGATCTGCCGACGACCTGGCGTCTGAGCAGCGTCCGGCTGGGTGAATACGACACCGACACCGACGAGGACTGCGTGAAGGACAGTGAAACCACTCGGGTGTGCGCGGACGATCCGATCTCGGTGGGCGTTGAGGAGCAGATCGCCCACGAGGAATACCGGCCGCTATCGCGCGATCAACGTTACGATATCGCGCTGCTGCGTCTCGTCCGCGACGTGCCGTTCACCAGCTACATCAAGCCGATCTGCCTGCCGTCCAACTTGACGACCGGCAACAAGTTCTACGTGGCCGGCTGGGGCAAGACCGAGACCCGCTCGGCGTCGAACGTCAAGCTGAAACTCGCCGTGCCGTTGGCGAATCAAGACCAGTGCGATCAGAGATACAGCAATGCCGGCGTGCGTCTCGGCCAAGGACAGCTCTGCGCCGGAGGTCAGTTGGGCAAGGACTCGTGTAGAGGCGACTCAGGTGGTCCCCTGATGGCCGTCGAGAGAGTCGCCGACGGCACCGGCCGGTGGACGGCCATTGGCGTTGTGTCCTTCGGACCGTCTCCGTGCGGCCTGCAGGGCTGGCCCGGTGTTTACACCAAAGTGGCGGACTTCGTTCCTTGGATCGTCAGTAAAATAAGAGCGTAAAGGAAAGCAAAAGGAAAATTTCACTCACGAAGGAAGTCGTCTTCTGAATGTAGTTAGATTCTCTCAAGAATGTGCGGAATTAAAATGTATTATGAAACCACGGTTGGACCAATGTATTTCTGCAGTCTAAAAAAGAAAAAAAAACTCCTGTCATTAATAAAATAAAAATTAATTAACTTGGCAGAGATTTATTTTCAAGATGGGCTATTAAATTCTATCTCGTAAAATAATGACAGCTTGATTAACAGCAATTACATCGAATTAAGAAATTGATGAAAAAGATGTGATTGAATACAATTCTAAATTGTGATAAATGAGTTATACATTAAATAGGATAAAAATCACTTAATGTCGTAATTGTATAATAATGATGAATAATGAAAGATAATTTTCATCTGCGTTAAATTAAACACTAAGGGACGGTGTAATAAATTTGACGGAATAAAAAAATCAGTACTGCAGTCTCCATTCCACGAACATTTCACGAATATACTCAATACTACAGAGATTTATTAGTTAAGCGATGCTAATTGCTCATATATCTGCATTTATAATGGCATATTTGATGATAACATTTCCGGATATTTCTAACGCATGAGCGTTGCTTACAACGAAGTGCAAGTTGCATCATTGTAATGAATATATGCGATATAAATTAATAACTCGATATTGTAAGGAACATTAGTTTGTAAGAATGTCAATGTGTGATTATTGAGAAAAATATTTTTATGTTTTTAACAGAATTATAGTAAAAATTAATAAAAAATAATTCTCCGAATTACACAATATTGTCACTTTCTACTTCTTTGCCGCTGCTTTATTTCATTTTAACATCTGGTTAATAATTTTTCTTTAATATTTGTATGATCTCGTCTTAATATTCTTGTTCTTCTCATTACCATATTTCGTATTCTTATCATGCTGTGATCAAATCCTTGATGCGTGTCGCATAAATATTTAAACAAGCAAACTGTGACGCAACACTTTCCTTTTTTACAATTTTATTTAACTAAGATAATAAACGACTTTTCTGAATCGTAGAAAAACGACATAAAGTTATAAATTCCAATTGTG